AATGTTCCTCTGCATGTTTAGTGGCTTTATCTTACTAATTTGTAAGAGCCTTGTTTATACTAATGCTCTCTATTGTTGAATATTTAGGTTTGCTTTTTGCTATTTTAAACATCACAGTAACTCTTATATAGAAATTTGTGAACAAAGCCATACTTATTTAATTGGATATATTCCTAGGAGTGGAATTCCTGAGTCAAAGGATGTAGGAATCTTTAATTTTACCAAGTTTCCCCAAAGTTTTTGCTCCCATTATGTATTATTCCTATAGCATACATTTACTGTTCTCAGCATATGCTATCTATTAATTCATTTTACTAAGACCCCTGGAGGGATACTGTTATTCCCATTGACAGATGGAGAAACTGAGGTGTGGCTGGGCTGGGCTCTGATCCAGGCGGCTTCAGAGCCTGTGCTCACAGCACAGTGACCAGCAGGCCGATGATGGCGAGGTGTGTGACTGAACTCAAATGTACCTATTGTGAAGCCGTAGGAAATCTGCTTAGCATCTCCATGCCAGTTTTCTCATCTGTGGAATGGGTATTAGCAGAGTATCTCATAAGGTAGTGGCCTTTTTTCTTTTTAACAGTAAGAAAATTTGTCTCGAAACAAGAAATTCGGCAATAGTTCAATCTAGAGTTATGCGAAGCAGTGACTCGATGTCCTTGCTTCTTCTCTCTGCTGTCCTTGGTGTGCTGACTGTACCTCAAGAGTTGACTCCATTTATGGCCACTAGATGGGAATCCCAGGAATCATACGCAGTTATAAGTATCCAGTCCTTTTTCCAGAAAGGACCCAGCTCCTCATGTGCCTCCTTGTTAGGAATGAAGAAATACGTGTCCTTCCCAAAGTCTACTAACAGGACTTGGCTCATGCCTTACTGGGAAGGTTCACGTCCCACACCCATACCCAAACCAATCACCCCCAAGATTTTCCCATGAATGGATGTGGGGAGTCAACCACAAAGATTCCAACATTAAACTTTGGATAGTCTACCAATCATATTTATCCTCCCCGCACTCCCCCAAGCTTGTGACCACTGATATTTAAGATGAATTACTTTATTACATAGGAGAGAGATAGTTCATGAACATTTATTGTACGTTTCCACCAATGAAGGC